CCAGCCCTATTTAGTGTCTTTTAAAACAAACAAACAAAAAACATCAAAAAGCCTTTTTAACTTGGTTTGTACACATTTTATTTTTTGTCTTTCTGAGACAAGGTTTTTTAAGACTGTAGCCCAGGTTAGTCTCAAATCTGCAACAGTCCTCCTGCCTCAGCCTCCTGAGTTCTAGGATCACAAGCGAGCACCACCATCACAGCTTGCCTCTCCACTCTGAACAGAACTGTGTTTTTTTGTTTTTGCTTTTTGTTTTTTTTTGCAGAACCAGGGATTGAACTCAGACCCTTGCGCTTGCCAGGGAAGCGCTTATTCTACTGAGCCATCTCCCTGGCCCCCAGAACTGTGTTAAAATTGTTCAGATATCCATATCTATTGTGTATGTCACAATGATGATGGAAAAGAAATACACAGCTACTGGGCATGGTGACACACACCTGAAAAACCCCAGCACTCAGAAGTGACAAGTTGAAGACCAGTCTGGGTTCAAGCCAACCTGCAGTACATAGCAAGACCTGTCCCAAGAAACAAAAAAACAAAACAAAAAGCAATACACAGCCAGTTCAAGTGATTATCAATTTTTACTTTCTCTCTCTCTCTCTCTCTCTCTCTCTCTCTCTCTCTCTCTCTCTTTCTCTCAACGTTGGGATCAAACCTGGAGCCTCGTATATACTGGACAGGAGCCATAGCCCTAAACCACACCCAAGCTGAATGGCTTCCTATTTCCTTCACACCCTCTTGTCTTCTCTGGAGCCCACAACTATCTTATGCTGTCCTCAGTGCACTATTTGATGTATACTTTGTGTGTGTGTGTGTGTGTGTGTGTGTGTGTGTGTGCAACCGGGGATTGAACTCAGGTCCTTGCACTTGCCAGGCAAGTGCTTATTCTATTGAGCTATCTCCCCAGCCCTCAATATATACTTTTCACAGTTCAATCCTAAGCATTCTGCTGACTGAGGATATCTTAGTGTATTCAGACACATCAGGTTGTCTATTAGTTTACCTTCCTGGGCTTTTCTTGATACAGGGAACCTCCAAATGATATATGATAAAATACTGATCTCAGGGTAGATGACCTTCATATGGCCCAGGGGAAAAATGATCTTCCAACCTAAGAGATACCTGGGACAAGTTCATGTTCTCTGAAACTGAAGAATGAATTTTAGGAACAAACAAAGGTTATGAGCAGAATATATTAAGGAAAAGAAAGCTCCTGTTCAAGAGAGGAACAGGAGCCCCCCCCCGCCCCGCCCCCAAGTGGGTTGTTTCCGGAAAGCTGTCTTTTCCAGAGACTTTTATAGAGGAAAATCATATGATGACATGGGTCTAAGGTGGCGGAGAAAATGGGAACTGGCTTAAGTGGGCATGAGCTGGGACAAAACTATGGTCAACCAATGAGATTACAAGCATTACTGCTCAGCTAAATTGATTAAATCTAGTACCAAATGGGGAAGCGAGTCACATAGCAAGCAGCATGAATATGGCACAGGGTCTTCCTGTTGGGGGTTGGACTAGTGACTCACTTGGGCTCTTTCAAAATGATTGATACCTGTTTAGGATATCAATCCCTGATACCCATCCCTAGGGAAGTATGTAGCTGTGTTTCCTCTTTTGTCTTGGTCTGGAGGTGTGTTCCGTATGTCTCTTCCAAGTTGCAAGGTCACCTTGTCTTTCATCTTGTTTCCTCGAGGGCCTGGCCCTCAGTATGACTGCCTATAATATTCTATCTAACTCAGGGGCCTGCAACATTCTGACCTGCAGCCTACCAGCCTGGCTGCCTGCAACTCTGTTGGGTAGGACCCCTGGTGTGCCTCTAAGTCATCCTTGCCCGTGGCTGCACCCATTCAGTGTGCTGGCATGGATCACTTGGCCATCTCTTCCCACACTCAGAGTGATGACCCCAAGGAGCTCAGTAAACTCTGAGACACAAGGCTCTATCTACCCCATGGAGAGCTGGCTGGTAAACACCATAGAAAATCACTGATTTAATCCCTCTCTTTGTTGGCCTTCATCAGTAGCTTTCTGAGACAGTGGAAAAGAAAAATGTTGAGGCCACATTCCATACCTGCAAATGACCTTATTCTATCCTCCAATTTGAGGTCTGGGGCGATGGCTCAGTGGAATATGTGCTTCCCTGGCAAGCGCAAGGGCCTGAGTTCAATCCCTGGTTCTGCAAAAAAAAAAAACAAAAAACAAAAAACCTAAAGTCCAAAGATATCCTCCAATTTGATTTTTACTGGAGTCTAGACTTTCCAGTGGTCTCTGGCTGCTGAATTAAGACGCCCTGCAGAAGTGCTACGAGAGGAGTACTTAAGCCCTGGACATGATTTTGGCCATGCATGCTTCCTGGAATACACTAATGATTGATCCTTTCTGTATACACAGGTCAGTCTGAAACATCAAGAGGCTTGGGGCCCCTGTTGACTGGTACAAGATGGTGGCAGATAACGCCAGATAACCTGTGCTTAAGTCCCCACACTTGTACACTCACTGTGACCTTTCTCTCAGTGTAAGAGTGAAGTGAGAACAGGTGAGTACCCGCCAGGCAGAAGGCTAAAGCACCTGCAGTAGAGCAGGCGCCTGAGGGCCCAAAAAGGCCACCAGGGAATGGAGAGTCCTGGTCAAATTCAGAGCGGCTGGCAGGGGTAGGACGAGAGGGTTATCGCTGGGGGGCCACTGCACATGGCTGGTGCAGGCCAAGGAGCTTAGCTTACAGGATTTAGATCTGAGGATGACAAGGCCAAAGTGCGTGTGCATGGGAGGTTGTGCAGAAGATTAAAGCCCCAGCTCAGCAAAGGCGAGCAGTGAAAGAGGACTGCGATCGCTGCCTGCACCCCATCTTCCTCCCCGCAAAGGGTATGTTTGCAGATAAGCAGACCCACATGAAACCCGAGTGCCCGGCGTCTCGTAACCTAGAGGCTGATGAAAGCTCCTCAGAGATGCGTTGCAGGGCGCGCCCCACAGGGAGCGCGGGCTCTCGACAAAGTCCAATTCTACAAGCAGGTGCGGGAGGCAAGCCGGTTCTCAAAGTAAGTTCTTAAAATAGGTCAGTCCAGAAATCAGGATCTGGAAGCAAGTGCTGTAAACAGGTTTTGAAACCAGGCTGGTCATGGAAGGCGAGACCCGAGGACAGGAGCCCGAGCACAGCCCCCGCCCTGCCAGACAGGGAAGAAAGCAGGCATTGTTTAAGAACTCCCACAACTGTAGTCTCTAACCGTTTAAAAACCCCATTGTAAACAAGGGGAATGTCCCGCTGCCAGGGTGACGGAATAAAGCCCCCGAATTCCTGCAGGGTTGTGACCACGCCCGCCCGGGTCTCCACCCCGCTTCCAGCGAGGAGTTCTAACTTTCCCGCAAGTCAAGTTGCAGCTGGTGCACAGGCGCACTGCGCTCAGAGAGCCGGGCTGCGGTTGCTAGGGGTTACTGAACCCCAACACCACGGGTAGGGAGGGACTACCTCCTGGAGCCCGCCTTCCTCGAGCTCTGATTGGTACATAACTGGTGTCCGTCGAGGCGGCTGCAATCACTGATTGGACATCAGCCAGTTTTTCCCCGGGGAGCACCGCGCTGCCCCTGGCGCTGGAAGCTAAGAATCTGCGACCAGTGCGGTCTAGAGAGGAGCTGTGGTCACGGACGGTCGCTGGCTCGGGCGTCCTGGGGATTTCATTCACGCAGCCTCGCGGGTGTGGCTTGCAGAAGCCGGACGATGATCCTCGAGGAGAAGCCAGACGCTGAGGGCGAAGGCGAGGACAGCGCGCGGTTGCAGGCTGCCGGCAGCGTCCTCAAGGTGGGTCGCTGGGGAGGGGTGCTAGGCCCTGGCCTCCTGCCCTGTGGTCGGCGGTGAGTCAGGGCGCGCGGCCTTCCTGGCTGCTCCCTCCTTTGCCCTGGGAAAAACTGAGGTTCTGAAGGGACTCCAAATCCTGTGTCCCTTCTCCAGGCTTCTCTCTGCCTCCTCTAGGGGCCCCAATCGGGTAAGAGAGGAAACTTCCAGGAGTATGTGGGTGCCGAGGTCTGGGCTGTTGCTTCCCTGAACCCCGGCACCAAGTGTGGGTTCCGGTCAGTGACAGCGTCTCCACGTAAGCGCAGGTTTGTTTGTGGCACCCGTGTAAAGCTTTCTTTCTAGCTTTGCCCTGTGCACCTGCTCCAGAACCGGGTGTGCACTTGATGTAGCTTGTACCAGCAGGCAGCTTGAGCCTCCTAAACATCATCTCTGGGTACTTTGTATTCCTGGCACTGCTCAGCTCTGCCCCCTCGGAAGTCCCGAACCCCAGGCTTGACTGTAACCAGTTTTTCAGGAGCACTAGGGAAGTGAAGGTGGAGTTTGGAGACATTGGGTCAGTCTGTGCCTGAGAAGGCCGTATCTGCAGCCAAAGCCTGGGTGTTGGGGGTCAGTGCGAGGTGCCCTAGTGTTAGCACACAGCCCCCCGCCCCCCCCCCACACACACAAGGGCTGCTGAGCGGAAAGACTCCTGTTGCTAGTCCCAGGCATCGCCATGGCACTTTGCCCTCCTTTTCTAGGTGTCAGACTACACACTGTGCCTCACTGCTTCCGTTCCCCTGTTGTGTTTCTGGGGCTCAGGTGAAGGGAAGAAAAGAGAAGGGCATCAGCCAAGACTCGGGCTGGCCAGGCAGTGCAGGCTGGTGATGCAGGCCAGACCCCCAAAGGCTCTCTCCCTGCCCACCTTGCAGCATGCCAGATGGCATAGCAGTTAGCAGGCCCCCGGGAGAAGGAAGTGGCCTGTCTATTGCCCTCTGTGAACTCCCTCACAGGCTTTTCATGCCTGAAGGTGGCCTCTGTGTATGTGTTGTCGTGGGTAGTGGGTAGAAGGAATGTTTGGGAGGTTGCACAAACACGATGTGCCTGAGGTCTCCAGGCTGTGGGCTGTGGTCTCAGGGCCGTGGACTGTGCCCGAGGTCTTGGGGCTGTGGGCTGTGGCCATGCTCTGTCTTTGCCCTCCCTTGGCTGCATCACCTCTGGTCATTCTGGAGTGCTGCATCCTGAAGTAACCAGAAGCAGTCAGGGTACTTGGGAGACCTGTAGGAGGCTGCTGTGGGCCTCCCAGCCCTGCTCAGGCTCATCCTAAGTCCCACCACACAGCCTGGAAGTTCTTCCCTGGTACCAACTGGAAGGTCTTCCCCAATACCCACTGCTGGGCTGTAGCGAAGCCATACCCTCCACTAGGCCTTTAAACCAGCTATTCTGCTCAGAATTGGGTGGGACAGGACTAGCTAGCTATATATGTAAAGGCCACTGCTGGGTCTGTTCACAGGCCTGTGTGGCTAGGGTACACTGCAGCAGGAGGGAGCAGGCTGGCATTCAGTGAATGCCTATCTGTTGCTGGGCCTGGTGAACCCTGTTTTTGCGCCTTAGTGTTCATCCTCTGCCCAGCATGTGCACATCCTGCCAGCCCTGGGCTTCTGTTTATTGGTCCAAAGAATTGGTTGAAGAAGTGGCCCAAAGTTGCTCACTAGGGGCATGAAGGGGCCTAGTCACCATCTTTTTTTTTTTTTTTTTTTGCGAAACCAGGGATTGAACTCAGGACCTTGCGCTTGCCAGGGAAGCACTTATTCATCTCCCTGGCCCATCACCATCTTAAGTTAGTTGACCTCACTGATGCTTGCCACCAAGGGCTGCAGTATCAGAAGCCCCACCCTTGGGCACTGGCCTCTTGAGAGGGCCCCAGGTGAGCCAGGTTACATGCAAGGCCAACCTTGGCCCAGGGAGGCCGAGAGGCTAAGGGGTCAGGGAAGGCCAGTGGGAGAAGGCCAGGGACAGAGCAGCAGGGAGGGAGGTACGGTGCCCCTCACCTGCTCTGCAGCACGATGGCGGGTCTGCTCAAGGGCCCCCTACCTGGCGGGATACTAGCATGCTCCAAGTCGGTGATGGGAACCTTGCAGAACGTTCAGTGATAATGGACAGCTTTCTGCAGTACCCATACCATAGGTCTGCCACCACTGCTATGGGTTCTTGTTACAAATCCAGCAGGCCTAGCCCACAGTAGGCTGGACACTTGGAGTGAGGCAGTGCCCAGGTGTCCGAGTGACCATAAAAGGAAGCAGTTCCTGAGGACACTTGCCCTAACTTGTGGCTAGTGTGCATGCCACTCTGTGGTCCAGCGGGCATGTATGTGGCTTGTACCATTGTGTTCTGGGAGACTCCTTGCAACTATCCGTTAGACTCTATTCACCAAACACTGCTCAGGAGACCGAGGTGGCTGGTGTGGAGAGTGCTGGGCTGCCACCCTTATGGGCTGTCCAGGTCCTCTGTGTTCAAGTAAAACCACAGAGGGCAAGAATCAGGGCTCCCTCAGATGGGCGGGCATTGGCAGGCAGGGTCTGGAAGGTGTGGCACTGGGAGAGGAGCTTGACTGTCGGAGTGGGGCTTTTTCCCACAGAGTGTCTCCAGATGGAATTTGAGAGGCACAGGGATACCTTGCTCTGTTTTGCTGTTCCCAGGCCCATTATTCTAGGGTACCTATCCCCTAGCTTTGCTTTTTTTTTTTTTTTTTTTTTTTTGCGGAACCAGGGATTGAACTCAGGCCCTTGCACTTGCCAAGGAAGCGCTTATTCCACTGAGTCATCTCCCCGGCCCCTTCCCCTAGCTTTTCTTAGTCCCTGGACAGGACAGTTCTGGCCGCCACCCTATACCAGGACCCTGGGTCTGTGGGTGGGGGTGGGAGGTGTTTATTTGTCTTTTCCCCCTCCCTTTCCCTCCAGGCTATGGCCACGCCCTGTCTCTGGGCAGTACTCCTTTGTTACACACCAGAGACTGTAACAGGTTCAGTGTTTCCAGTAGAGTGGGACCAAAACAGTCACAGTGCAGTAGATAGCACAAGGGAGGGGCTAGGCAGCCTTTGTTTCCAGAGGGCAGGAGGTTGTTCCTGGGGTGGGGTGGGTCCCCATCACCCGTGCCCCTCCCCAGTGCTCCTGTCCCACTGCCTACAGTGAAAAACTGGGTGTGGGCCAGCAGCTTCTGGAGTCCAGTCACCCCCGCAGGTCCAGCCCTGGCTTGCTTGTCTCCCACCCCTTCCTCACATAGATTAAGAGGTTACAGGAACACTACGGACAGGAAGTGCCCAGGGGCCCCTAGCAGCCTGGTTTTTGCTGCTTACCACACCCCTCAGAAGCTGAAGTGGGACCTTTACAAAGGAGTATTCAGCTCTGGTGATGGACCAAGACCCCCAGCCCCATGCAGGGGAGACCATGTGGCCTCATCTTGTCTCCTCTGTACAGGCAGCATGAGGTGCCTTGGGAAAGCAGCGCAGGCCCTGGAGTGTAGCTGCTGGGGCAGCCAAGGAGGCAAGGGGAGGCAAGGCTGGGCTCTGCTCTGCCTGTCAGTGGGCCCAGGCCCCCGGCAGGAGGCACTCTGCCCCACTGCTTTTCCACCCGTTTGTCCAGGGTGAGTCCCTTCTCCCTGGTGCTCAGGAACCTCTTGAAGCCTCCTGTCTTTCATCCCAATCCTTGTGCAGTCCTTACTGAATGATCCATTCCTCTTGGAAAGCCAGCCTGGGGAAGGGGATCTGGAGCCCTGATCAAGGTAGCCAAAGGCCAAGGAGCCTCCTGCAACAGGTATAAGACCCTCCTTAGAGTGCAGTGAGGGGCAGGGACAAACGAGCACCCTTGAGTTGAGACTGCAAGCCCCACTGCAGTACCACCCAAATGAAGCCCTTTGACCATGCCATCAGGGAAGTGTCCTTTGAGGCATTGTTTGAGGGTTGGTGACCGTCTGTGGAGATGTTGCACAGGAAAGGAGCCCTCTAGGGAGTCCTTCTTGCCATCTGGGTTCGTAGTGACCCAGACCTGGTGAGGCCCTGAATGGTTTCAGGGGGAGGCACAGTGACCTCAGGCTACGCTGTGCCCCTGTGCCCTCGCTGTCTGGCATTGCTGGGACAAAGCCTCAATGTGACTGGGCCCGTGGCTGGGGGTGGAGGGCAGGAATAACTCAGATCACCTCCCTCACATCATCCAGGAGGAACCTGGATTCAGCACCTTACTCCCTTCCCCACAGGGCTGTGCACTTCCTCCATGTAGCCCACTACCTATACTTGCTCGGTGGCCATGCTGCCTGGTGCCTGTGACCACTCTCCCCTGCAAACCCCGGTGGGTAGAGCCCTGGAGCCAAGCCTGCCTAGGTTTCCGTAATATGGAACCAAGCTCTTGTTGGAGTGACCCCGGACCAGCTTCTTGTATGAATGGGCTGGGGACTCCAGGGAGTCAAGCTTCCTTAGGGAGGGCTTCTCTGTAGAAATCCACACCCTGCGTTGAGAGGCAGGCCCTGGGAGAGGCTCATTTCAACTTTTTTTTGGTGGAAACTGTGATTGAACTCAGGCTCTTGCGCTTGCCAGGGAAGCGCTTATTCTACTGAGCCATCTCCCTGGCCTGAGAGGCTCATTTCGGTGGAAAGGTATTTGCCAAGCATTCTTGAGGCCTGGGGACCTATCCCCAGCACCATAAATAAAAATTCATAATCACCCATGTTTTAAGAACCAGTTGCTATAGTGTGGACCTAATTCCAATTACTTGGGAGGCTGAGGCAGGACTGCTTGGTGTACTATAAGGGTGCTTGGTAAAAGGAGAATGGACCGTGCAGGGAAGATACTTGACATGTGGGCCTTTTAACTGGCTAGGATGGAGCTTGGCCTGTGACATCTGAGAGGAAAATACCTGTGCTGGCTGGGTGCCCATGTCCCTAGCCAGGCCCATCTCACAGGCTCTAGCCCCTTTCCCCTAGGGCAGCTGGGTCAGGGCTCAGGAATGGGTATGATCTCTTATGGCCTTCCTGCAGCGCTGTGACCCCCTGGCACAGACTCAGCACAGCTGGCTCCAGAGCCAAAGGACCCGGATCTACCAGCAGATTGCCAAGGAGTTGCGGATGCGGACAGGTGCTGAGAACCTCTATAGGTGAGCGCCTGAGCCCCTCAAGACCTGGGGGTGGGCATGGCCCATGTGAGTGATAGGACCAAGCTGGTAACCCAGGCAGGCCTCTGCTGGTAGTTGGCTACAGAAGGCCTGTCTTAGTTACTTTTCTCATTGCTGACACAAAATATCCAACACTGAAAGTTAAAGGAGAAAAAGTTTCTTTTTTTTTTAATATTTATTTATTTATTTATTTATTTATTTATTTTGTGTGTGTGTGGCCAGCTCAGCCCACCAGAGGGCGGGGCTGGCTGGCATGTGGTGCTGGAGGATTGAACCGCGGTCCCCGTGCTTTGCTTAGCTTAACTTGTTCTAAGTAGGTGCTTTAGACCACTGAGCCATCTCACCAGCCCGAGAAAAAGTTTCTTTAGCGCATAGTTTATAGAGATCTTAGTCCGCAATCAACTGACTGACTCCAAGGCAGGGTGGCTCATGGCAGAGGGGCAACCACTCATGGCAGCAGAAGACAGCAAAAGCAATTTGGGTCCTTTATTCTGTATGTAAGCTACCTGCCCGAAGGCAGGTGTAGCTCTCACATCCTTAATCCCAGCATTGGACCATGAATCAGTCACAAACTGTAGATTCAGCCACCTCCAAAAAGCACCCCTCATGACTACATGAGGCTTTGGGGGACAAACCATAACAAGGGCACATGAAAAGGTGGCCTCCCACCCAGGGAGCTCTCACCTAGCTCCTGGCAGCCATGCGGTATACTTATGATTCAGCAGAGACCTTGAGGCAAACCGAGCCCTTCCCAAGGGTGCAAAACTGGAATCGCCTTCGGGAGGCTCGAGCAAGACATGCAGTGGCCAGCATGGGGGAGAGAGGCCACATCATGCATCCCAAGGCTGGGGAGCTGGGAAGTCTTCTGGCTCAGGACCAGCCTCTTTCTTCAAGTACCCTGCCCGTGGCAGCCTATCCTGCCGGGGAGCTCAAGACTCCACTCCTGAGCAGCCTGTGCCCCTCATCCAGCAGAGTTGTTTTGGAGTTACCCTGGAGGACATGTGAATGAGGGGAGCCCCTGCAGCCACTCTGCATGAGGCCGTGAATCGTAGGAGGAGGACACAGAAAAGCGAGGGTGGTAGCTGTGGGCCCGCAGCCCCCATCCCCCCTCCACAGCGCCATCCTCCAGAGGGCAGGCTCTGGAGCTCAGCAGGGCAGGAGGGCCGGATCATGAGATCCGCTGTGGGCCAGGGCTGCTGACCACCTCTGCCCTCCCCCAGAGCAACCAGCAACAACCAGGTCCGAGAGACGGTCGCCCTGGAGCTGAGCTATGTCAACTCCAACCTACAGCTGCTGAAGGAGGAGCTGGAGGGGCTCAGCAGCATGGCCGACCCAGAGCAGCCCAAGGGGTGAGCATTCAAGCAGAGGTGCACACATGTGAGGGTTAAGGGGAGCACCCTTGGTCTGGGTTATGGGAGTGCAGGGAGTGGACTCTAGGCCACTGTGGGAGTGCATCCAAAACCAATGTTTCTGGTTCTAGTGAAGGTGTCACTGTCCCCATGATCCCCCTGGGCCTGAAGGAGACCAAGGAGCTGGACTGGGCCACATCCTTGAAGGTACACCCTGGTCTGTGAGCAGTGAGGGACACTGCCCGCCCCTGCACTGCCCTGGGGCCTAGAACAGTTTTGAGGCTTCCTGGTCAGGCCAGTTCATTGAGGCTCAGATGAGGAAACCGAGGCCAAGAGGGAGAAAGAGATGACCCAGAACTGCCCATAGGCATGGCAGAAGTGGCCAGAGACCTGGTTTCCTGCCCTGGGCAGGCCTCCTTCTTCCTGCTACACTCAGTTCCCATACCCTGAGCTGTAGATCTGCTGGGTGGGCTTGGATTTGGGCCCTTCCCTAGGATGGGCATATTGGGACCTAGACATCCTGCTAGAAGCACCAGGATGACTGCAGGGTCCTGGGTGCTCCTGCTGAGGGTCCTACTGGCTCAGAGACCCTAGGTGGAGCCTGTGCTATGAACATTACAGCCTTCCAAGTATACTGGGAGGCCTCAGACACCAGACAGGGCCAAGTCCTGTCTGCCACTGCCTCACAGGGTCTCATGGCAGGAACTTGACCTTATACCTCAAGTGTCTGAATTTCCAAGTGACAGGCTGCACCTGCACTTGGGATTACCATGGGATTAGAAAAGGATTGTATGTAAAGACCGCACCAGCAGCCCTAGTCCAGAGCCAAGGGGCAGACCCACCCCAACACCTGTGCCAGTGCCACCAAGCCCCTCACACCCACAGGCCCTCGGCACTCCCAGCCCTGCATGGGCAACCAGCTTGTGCTGCGCCTGGACCCTTCCTCCCCAGGGCAAACTGCCCGGCACTGGGCACCCCAGAGGCCAGCACAGTTCTTTTGCAGGAGCTGATCTCAGGGCACTTTGGAGAGGATGATGCTACCTATGAGACAGAGATCATGGAGCTGGAGAGCCTGCGGCAGGTGGGTGGACCGCTCCCAGCTCACTCTTCCCTTCTGTAGAGCAGATGCAGGTGGGGAAACCAAGACTTGGGCGGTGAAGCTCCAGGCAAATGATTACCTGGCAGGAGCCGCACATCTGGGGAGGATATCAAGGAGACAGCCACATAGGTGTGCTGGCCACTCCTCGTGCCTCTCACCCCAGGGCACCTTCCCATTGTGTCCTGAAGCCCTGGATGGCATTTGCTTCATAAAGCTCACACCCAAGGGATCCCAGCCAGTGTGTGTGAGTGAGGTTTCTGGGCGGTGGGGCCCAGCCATTGCTGCCCCACAGGCCATGCGGACCCCCAGCCGGGATGAAGCGGGCCTGCAGCTGCTCGAGGCCTACTACAGCCAGCTCTGCTTCCTGGACATGCGCTTCTTCAGCTCTGCTCGGAGCCCTGGGCTGCTCTTCCAGTGGTAGGGGCTGGGGTGGGGGGTGCCCTGGGGACAGGAGGCCTGGGTTTCAGAGAACTGCTCCCAGCCTGAGCCCCTCACAGGTACGACTCACTCACGGGAGTCCCAGCACAGCAGCGGGCCCTGGCCTTTGAGAAGGGCAGTGTGCTGTTCAACATCGGCGCTCTCCACACACAGATTGGGGCGTGTCAGGACCGCTCCTGCCCAGAGGGTGCCCACCGTGCCGCCCAGGCCTTCCAGAGGGCTGCTGGTGAGAATACCCTACATCCACAGTTGGGCCACCTCTCCTTTCCTGTGGCAGAGCTGAGGCAGGCAGGCCGGCCCCCAGCATGAGAAGCTTGGCATACTTAGGGTGGCCCTAGTGCACTTGGGGAGGCCCTGCTACTGTGAGCACCCACTTTATCCACAGGAGCCTTCAGCCTCTTGAGGGAGAACTTCTCCCATGCCCCAAGCCCAGACATGAGTACCGCCTGTCTCTCCACACTAGAGCAGCTCATGGCTGCCCAGGCCCAGGAGTGCATCTTCGAGGGCCTCTCACTGCCAGCCCCTGCCACCCCCCACAACTGCCTGGCCCAGGAAGCTGCCCAGGTGAGTCGAAGGAGCTCTGCTGAGAACCCTCAACAGCCTGGCTGCTCCATAGTGACTTGTGGACAGAGGACTGAGAAGTCAGCAGGATATGGGCAGAGCTTGGTCAGGGAGCCAAATCATACTTGGATTAGTTCTGTTCTGTGTCGATCCCCAAAGCCAGCAACTGTCCTGGCTCATGGGGGCCCAAGTGTCTACCTTGGGAGACAGGACAAATCAGAGTAGAAATTTGGGTCCTAGGACACTGGGGTCAGCCTCAGGTGCTTGGAGCAAAGGAACTTGGTTTAGAGTAGATACAGGCTGGGCCCGAGTGTGACGAGCAAGGGCTCCCCAGGGATGGCAGGGGGCCCCAGTGTGTCCACATGCCTGCCAACAGGTGGCAGCTGAGTACAGGCTTGTACACCGGGCCATGGCCCAGCCACCTGTCCAAGACTATGTGCCCCCATCCTGGACCACCCTGGTGCATGTCAAGACGGAACACTTCCACGCGCTGGCCCACTACCACGCTGCAATGGCCCTCTGTGACAGCTCCTGTGAGTGTCCCCACCCCGTGTGTCTGGGGTGTAAACTGGGGGCTTGTGCTCACCTCTCACAGCCTCTCTGACCTGCAGCTGAAGACAAGCTTCCCACGCATGAGCAGGCCTTCCAGTCCCCGCAGTCCCCTGAGTCCCACGGTCCTCCACTGCCACAGCAGCCAGAGGAGCGCAGGAAGCTTGGTGAGGGCCTGCAGGTGGAAGGTGCGGGGGTGGGGGGGAGCGTTGTCACTTGGCACCTGATACCTCTGTGCTGCCTGGGTAGGTGGGGCCACATTGGTGGCAGTGCTTACCTAGCCAAGCCCTCTTGGTTTGGCCAACTTCCCAGTTGCCCCTGCGGCCCATACCCAACACTGGGCTGCATCCCAGAGGGTGGGGACTGGGATTGACTTTGTGTGATAGCACTGTGCCTTGTGTACAGCCAAGGCCCACCTGAAACGCGCCATACTGGGCCAGGAAGAGGCCCTGCGGCTACATGCTTTGTGCCGTGTCCTGCGCACAGTGGACCTGCTACAGGCTGTAGTGGCCCAGGCCCTGCAACACTCACTGGCCAAGTACTCGGAGCTTGAGCGTGAGGATGACTTCTTTGAGGCTGCGGAAGCCCCGGACATCCAGCGTGAGCAGCTAGGACCCAGCAGGCTGGGTATACCCCCATAGCCCAGAGGTGGGCCACACCCCTGCAGCTAAAAGTGCTGTTGCCAATCAGGTACCATGGTGCATGCCCATTATCCCAGGAACTTGGCAGGCCAAGGCAAGAAGATTACAAGTCTAAGGTCAGCCTGGGCAATTTAGTAAGACTGTGTTGCAAATTTTTTTTAAGAGGAAGGTAGTATATAGCTCCATATGTGAGGCCCTAGTTATATTCCCAGTACCAGGAAAAAGATACAGTAACCAAGGCCATGTCCTGCCAGCCTCAGGAGGGGTGGGAGCTCCAGCTGGGCTGGACAGTGCCCCTGCTGAGACCCTGTGTTCTCTCACACTTGGCTCCTGCTTTGGGGAAGCCAGCCAGGGACAGCCCCACTGAGCGGGACAGGGAAGGCCCGGGATAGCAAGGCAAAAGGCCAGGGATCCCAAGAAGGGCCCAATGGGCACTGGGGTCATACCTCCCCTGGGATAGAGCTCGGGGTCTTAGGGTCCATGAGTCTTGGACTTACTGTGGTCCTCCTTGTCCTCTCACCCTGTCAGCTAAGACCCACCAGAAGCTAGCAGTCAGGCCATCTAGCCTGTCACAGATGAAAGTGGCTGACATCTTCCACCGGCTGGTGAGCACGCAGCTTGCAAACACCTTGCATAATGGGGCCGCGATCCCACTTCAGCATTCTGCACAGGCCTTGCCCCTCCTCCCCTGCAACCACCTCATTAGTTCCTATTCCAAAGAATCCAGGTAGAAGTGGGGTGCTCACGGCCCTCACACTCTAGCCCAGCAAGGTCCTGACCCCTTCTCTTCCAGGGGCCCCTGTCTGTATTCTCAACCAAGAACCGGTGGCAGCTGGTGGGACCCGTCCACATGGCCCGAGGAGAGGGTGGCTTCGGCTTCACGCTCCGGGGAGACTCACCTGTCCTCATCGCTGCTGTGGTTCCTGGGGGTCCGGCTGCAGTAAGGGCCCCCTGGTCTGAGGTTGGGCCCTGGCTGCAGCCTGGCAGGCTGTCCTGCTGCCTCACCAGTCTGTATTCCCTATAGGCAGCTGGCCTGAAGGAGGGGGACTACATCGTGTCAGTGAACGCGCAGCCTTGCAAGTGGTGGAAGCATGCAGAGGTTGTGGCGCAGCTGAGGGCTGCGGGCGAGGGGGGCGTGAGCCTGCAGGTGGTGTCCCTGCTGCCCAGTCCTGAGCCACGTGGCACGGTGAGCCCCTCAGGGCCCCCAAACTTCTTGTTTGCACCCAAACCCCGCTCCTTCACCTAGATACTCCAGAGGCCTCCACAGGAAGAAGTGGCAGGTTGAGGGCCTTCACTGGGGTTAGCCTAGTGGCGGCCACCTCTGCTGCTGCCACCACCTGGCAGCTGCTGCTCTATACCGAGGAAGCTCTTGACTATCTTAGTGGGACTCTGATCCTGAACTTAAGGCTTCCAGAGATAGTCACCCACAGGGTTGGGTGGCATGTGGCCACACCAGCAAAGCCCGGGTCACAACCACAGCAAGCCTGCCACCTCCAGACAGCTTTGCTTCTCCCATCGTGAGCAGTGGAACAGGCCTTGGAGCTGACCGTGACCTTCTCTTCCTGGCTGCAGGGGGACCATCGGCCGGGCCTGCTGGGTCCAGGGGGGCTTCTGAAGAGCCAGAGAGAATGTGGCTTTGAGACACCAGCCCCCATGCATGCCAGCACCTTGCACCTCCTTGGCTGGAGCCGCAAGGCCAAGTGGTGCAAGACCGGGGGCCGTCTCCAGCCCAGCGCTGGTGGAGACTCTGGTACCTGCCCCTGAGCCAGGTGTGCCCTGTGCTCTCCAAGCCCCAGGGGGTCCCCAGGGCCAGTGCCTCCCTGGTTCCGGCAATCAGGAGTAGCCTATGCATTCTGTCCCTCACATTGGATGACCTTCAGGCTGTGCCTGCTCTGCTCAAGGCTGAGATATCCATTAAAGATTATGGTCAGGCAAGATGGGTCTGAGCCCAGTGCGGGGGCGGGGTGGCCATTTCACCCATAGCCGAAAGTGTCGTAGGGCCCTCTGGGCACGGTGCTCAGGCCACCTCTTTGGGAGCTTCTGCCCCCTACAGCCAGCCCCCTGCTGTGCCCATCCACACCCTACCTCAGGGCTCACTGAGCTTCTTAGTTGGTGTTCCTGGCAGGCTCCCCTCTACAACCCCAGCCCTGCCTGGACAGAGCTCAGTCAGCTCCCTTGCTGGCCATGGCCCCTGCACAGGGTCCCGGCCAAGGCCTGCCCCTTGCAAGGCCTTCTTTCCCCTCCCTACTCCTGCTGTCCTGCCCTCTGCCCAAGAGACTCCAGGTCCTGGGTCTCCTGCACCTGCTGTGCTATGATGCACATGATCCCAAGGCCATCAACAAGAGCTGTGTCCCCAGATCCCTTGGAAAGATGGGCTGGGGACCTGAATTCCAAAGAGTCAGGAAAAGAACTGCTTTGGAGGTAGTCCTGAGCTACACAGGGGGATAGCCACTGGAAAGCCTGTCCAGTGGGCTGAGGATAGACACTGCTGGCCAGCCATTGTCCCTCCGGCCACCAGGGGGCAGCCCCTGCCCACTCTTGCAACCATAGGGAGGCTACTATCTTCTGCCAATTCCCGATCTGTGGGACAGACTCAGGAAAGCAAGGCAGACCCCTCCTAGTCAGAGACCCCCCTCTTTTGTCCAGTCCTTGCTGAGTTCTTCCCACCCATGGAGAAACAGCCAGCTCTGTGCTCTGGCTCTGGTTCTGTGGTCCAGGACCTACCATCCTATTACCCCCTCCCCACTTAAGCACTGATATCAGGGTCCTAGGGGATGAGAGTGTGTGGGGTAAGTGTAAGGATGAGTATGGGATGGGGGCTGGAACCGTGGGGGGGTGTGAGGAGGGCAAGCCCATGAGCTGGAGCCTAGCCACAGCTGTGTATTCCACAAAGCAGGAGGGAAGGGCCCCACCAGCCTGAGCCTGGGAATGAGGCTCCAGGTGCACTGGCCTCCCTTGGGCCTCCTTGGAGAATCTCCAGCTCAGCAGAATGGGCCAAGGTCAGGCAGGGCTCCTCAGTGCTTATTAATTTGATTAATAAAACTGTGCGTCAAGGAGGCCATTATGTGATAATCAGGTATGACAGGTGTGGTGGGCTCTGTCTGGGAGGGAAGACTGTACTCCCGCCTCTTGCAGCTTGTCCACACCTGAGGAGGGGACAGCATCCTAGGGAGACATGGGATCTGCCTCCTGCATGAGCACATTCTTTCTGCCTGCCAGCCTCTGGCCTCTTTCCAAGCCTGGGCCTTTGCTCCTGGGCCCTTGGAGGAGACTATGCCCACCAGCTCTTAGGACAGCTGTCCTTAGCTCAAATGCCTCATGACCTCCAGGGTCCCCCTTGGGGCTGCCATCAGGGCCTCCCTGGTCAGCAGCTCCCTCGGCTCCCCTGCATACCTGTGCAGCGGCAGTCACAATGCTTTCTTGAGGCTGCCACAGTGGTCCCTGAGGCCCAGATAGGGGAGGAAGAGGCTCCCAGCGGGGGTCCTAGGTGAAGACTTGCTACCCAGGCAACGCATCCCCCGCCCCACCTTTGCCCACCAGGATGCAACCCACACAGTGGGTCCCCAGGGTTCCTGTGGGGCATCAGGCTGGCACCCGCAGGATTCAGAGAACAGCTGAGCTGGCCCAGGAGGGATGCACCCTCAGCCCATCCTGGGGCTGCTCCAGACAACAATTAACTCTCCCAGATTGGGGGCTCTGGGAGACCCTGAACCTAGCCTTGCCCCTGGGCAAATGGATGGAACACCCTGCTTGGCCTCCGAGACATCCTCAGTGCATCCAGAACCCTGAATAGGCAGCGCTGGAGTTGCCAGTGAGTGCCAGGAGGCCACAGGGACAGGTCAAGGGCCTCCTGCTGGCCCAGCAGAACTTGCAGTTTCATCCTGGCAACATCCATTGCAGAACATCCTAGGTCCAGGCTGTTCTCTGAATCCTACGGGTGCCAGCCCGGTGCCCCACAGGAACCCTGGGGACCCACTGTGTGGATTGCATCCCAGTGGGCAAGCATGGGGCCGGGGATGTGTGTGCAAGCCTATGCCAGGATGCCTGTGCACCCGATGGCCCTACAGTACCTGCCCGCACCTTCCTGGGCTTGTCTGACCAAATTCCATATCCCAGGCTTTAGGTCTGTCTCAGTTACTTCTCAACTCTGCTGGGACAAAATACCTGCCACCCAAAACTAACGAAGGAAAGGTTTGTTTGGCTCACAATTTGTGGAGGTTTCAGTCCATACTCGGCTGACTCCAAGGTAGAGGGGCACATGGCAGAGGCCAGCTGCTCAAACAGCAAGAGGACAAGGGAGGGGCAGCGGCTGCAGCGTGGATGCAAGCCTCTGCGTCCCTTCTACTGCATTCGGGCTCTCTGGATGCAGCACTCCTGCCCTTAATCCCAGCATTAGATCTCAAATTAATCACAAACTCTAGAAGCCACCCCATGACTGCATGAGGCTTAGGGGGGACACCTAGACACAAACCATACCAAGGTCCCACTTTGTGACCCAGCCGCAACCATTTGCCACTCTGGGCTACAGATGGACCCATGGGCCCTGGACAAGGGCCACACTGACTCTCCACGAGAGCTGTTAGTACCTGAGGAAGGTTCACACACACCTGTGTGTGTCGCCCCCAGGGAGGGAGGGGCGCTGTCTAGCAGAGTTAGGCCCAGGAGGAAGGGCACGGGGACTTCCCTGGCTGGGGTACACACCCACCAGCCCTGCACCACTCAGAGATGCAGGGTGCGCAGAGCCCTTCTGGGCGGGAGGTCGAGGTGAGTATGCGTTGTGATCCTTTTTGCTTTGCCAACAGAAAACTGCCAAGAGGGGAAAAGGCAAACTCTGTTTAGCTTGGGTCAGCAGTGAGCAGGGGCAGAGATTAATGTGGGGAGAGGGAGTGCTTCGGAAGTGGGAAGCGGGAGGGCGGGAGGGCACTGGGGGTGGGGGCAGGACTGGGGGATGGGATGGAGCAGGGTGGAGGGTGGATGAGTGAGCCAAGGGCAGGTGTGAGGAGGGTACAGGGCAGGGGCTGCCCCTTCCACCTGACTGTCGTCTCCACCTGCTCCTACCAGGCCTCTCCTCCACCTTGAAACTAAGCTGATGCTGGCCCAGCCCCTCCCTAGTGTGCATGTTGGGGTCTGAGGCTAGCCCCGTGCCCACCCCACGATGCACTCACATGCCCGCAGGCTCATTCAGCTGGGTATTTTTTTTTTTTATGAGCAGCATATATTTATTGAGAGAAAGAAAGCTCCTGTCCAAGAAAGGGGCAGGAGGGGGGGCCCCAGTGGGTAGTTCCCCCAGCTGGGTATTTTGTTTTGCTCTTCAATATGTGAGTTCATCTGGTACCCGCTGCCCATCCAGCTCCCCCTGGGGGAGGTAAGCCCAGTAAGGAAGTAGAGTTAGGGTCAGTATGTCTGTCCTGGTGGGGGACCTGGAGGCCAAGCTGGCAGGGTGGGGTGGGTGACCCTTGGAGGGCCCTGCAGAGAGGGGAAACGGAAGGGGGCCCTCTGCAGAGGTGCAGCACATCTGTCGTTGCGTGGCTGCTGGGAGGGCAGGCTTGGGCTTTGCCTTAGTTTCCCAGGGGGTGAGGAGCAGTGAAGGCCCAGTGTGGTCTGCGAGTGAGGGGGCACCTACTGCCAGCCTGTCTGGCTCCAGGTTGAGCAGCAAAGAGGCACTCAGGACCCCCTGGCTTGGCCACAAAGGTACCACCAGACTTCCATGAATGACACTTCCAGCGTGGGCAGGAGTGGCCTGGGAGGAGTCCCCCATGTTACCTGCCCTGACAGCCACCTCTTCACGGGGCCAGGCCCTCTTTGGGGTAGGGCAGCGAAATTTCTAGGGGTAGAGGGAGCCATGGAGCCTGGAGGACACAAGCTAGGCCCACCCAAGTCTCTGACCTGGAGTCAAGAAAAGACGGTCTAGAGCTGGGCATGGTGGTACACTTGGGAGGCTGAGGCAGGAAGTTCACTGCAAGTTCAAGTCCAGCCTGGGCTGCACAGTCAGTTGAAGGCCAGCCTAAACTACTTAGAAGGACCCTATTTTATTTTTTAATTTTTTTTTATTTATTTGAGAGAGAGAGAGAGAGAGAGACAGAGAGAGAGAGACAGAGAGACAGAGAGACAGAGAGACAGAGAGAGAGTGTGTGTGTGTGGTGTGTGTGTGTGGCCAGCTCAGCCCACCAGGGGGCGGGGCTGGCTGGCATGTGGTGCTGGGGGATTGAACCGCGGTCCCTGATGCTTTGCTAAGCTTGTTCTAAATAGGTGCTTTAGACCACTGAGCCATCTCTCCAGCCCCCAGAAGGACCCTATTTTAAAGAGACAGAGAAGCACAGAGACACCAACAGACCCCTCTGGGCTGTTCTGTACCCCACAGTTCTTCCCTGAGGTCTGAGGAGGGAGGAGCAAAATCGTGGCAGACTTTCCCTGTGCTATTCTCCTGGGACAGGAAGATCAGTGCCAAGGGCAGCTCCAGTCCCTGGCTCCCCACTTCTGAGCCTGTACCCTGTCTCCCTGCAGCCATGGTAGCACCCTGAGCTCCCGTAAAACCCAGCCTCTCTGCCCCCTAGCATTTTTTTTTTTTTTCCCGACTCAGCCTGCCCTGAGAGAGGGCCTAGTGTGGCACATGGTGCCAGGGATCAAACCTAAGCTTGCCTAAGCAGGTGCATTAGACGGCTGAGCTATCTTGCTGTGGCCCCCTACCTCCCAGCTTTTTTTTTTGCAGACCCGGGGATTGAACTCAGGCCCTTGTGCTTGCCAGGGAAGCGCTTATTCCACTGAGCCATCTCCCCGGCACCCCTCCCAGCTCTTTTTGAGACAGATTCTTGCACATAGTTTAGGCTGCCTTGAACTGACTATGTATCTCCGGCTGGCCTCAAACTCTCAGCAATCTTTCTGCCTCAGCCTCCTGAGCACTGGGGTGAGAGGCACATGCTACCACACTACCTTCC